ATAGTTTTATTAATAATTATTATGTAATTTCGAGAAATAAAGAATCAACGACAAAACTTTTCAGCATCCCCACGTACGAGTCGTAGATAGTAGTAAAAATCATCTTCGGTTCATCTCAGATCAAATCATTTCAGCAAGACGTTGCTATTAGATAGTTCCTTGTAATCTAATAAATATCCAATTCAAATATAATTTTTATTTCGTTCATTCCCTGATAAAAGATACTTTGCGTCGTTTGGCGAAGTGTTAAAACGCTTTCCCCCTCAGCGGCGAATAGAATTTAATCTTGCCGATAAATTCTATTTAGTACTTTTGCAATTAGAGTTATTGTTTAATTAACTGTTAACACCTATAAATAGTAGAATTCCCCGTTCGATAGGCCGTAGATCTAACCCCACTACGGAAATCGCTGAGATACTCGAGTTTAAACAATAACCTAGGAAAAGTGCATACAAAAGCGATACTATACATCGTGAGTATTGAAAGCCTGTGTTAAAAGGTCACTAATTGTACATTATTTAGTTTAAAGTAGGAAGAGCAAAAGCTTCCCAAAATTCGTTACATGCATCTATCAACTCTTCCCGATATTTTTCCCAATCTTTCATCAGATCTTTTATCTCTTTCACCATTGGAAACAAACTAAATCCCAAAACGACTAGTACACTGCTGCTCTCCCAGGTGTAAGCTAGTCCAACAATATGCTCAAACAAGTAAAAACCTTACTGGATGCCAATAAACTCATGTTTCAATTGTTGAATAACTTTCTGCACCCTTGTAGATTTTCCTGAAGCCCTTGCCCCATATAACATTATGAAGTAACCACTCTGAATTTGCTCAATCAATGGAGCATTTTGTTCTGCTGGGTCTGCAAAATAATGAAAGATCCATTCAGATGGATGCATCATGCTATTCACCATCCATTCCCATTTCTTTGGTTTTGTGATAGTGACTAAGAAAAAGATCAAAAAGTTGGTGAAGAAACAGTGATGTGAAGGGTTTACAACCCCCCTTGGCCTTCTATAGCTTGCATCTCTTCTCTCCTCTCTCCTCCTCCTCTCCCCACTCCTATAATACCTATACCTCCTCTTCCATTACATCTCCAAAATCTATAGCTACCCTCTTTTCTACTACTACCTTAGTTGTGGGATCTTATAACCCTCCCTCATTTATTGCATGCCTGTCTTTAGTATTAGATAGAGTTAAAATGAGCTTTAGCATGTATATGTAGTTCAGCAATAAAGTTGTACTTATTGAAGGGTTTACAACCCACACTAACATGTTGTTATTATCTTGTGGATGATTAATCTTGGATAGTACATTCTACTTCTGCCCTCCTTTTGAGTCTGCATGCTAACACTAATAAGGCACAAGTTAATAGATGAAATTACTGTGGAGAAACAGTGTAGATTGGTGATATGTGAATGCAGTCGTGGTATTTACCTTGCTCTTTGCCTTTGATGTGATCTTGACTTAGAAGGACTAGAAAGGAAAAAAACACACATAATATAATGCAGAAAATACAAAATCAAGCCAGGTTAACTCTAGCAACAACATTCTCCCAACAAACTCGTAAACCATATTACCACGTTTATCTACCCTATGGACACACTACTCTATGTCCCCAACGCCCGAGTCACAAAGTCGTTACCTGTCGGAGTGCTTGCTGCAAGCAATGCAACAAGAGACATCTTTCTTTCCTCTAAGGAACTCTCCTGTTGCTCCAGTTTCTCTCTCTCCCTTGTATAACTTTCCTCTGCACCATCTCTCAGTGCCTCTAACTGTCCAGTTTCTTGTTAGCTCGATCAAACTCGCTTTTTATTTCCATGTCTGGAAGTGAAGTGGTTGCGATGTGGGTCTAATATACTGAAGCTGATCAGTGGCTTAATCAATGACGTATTATTAGGAACTTTCTAGACCTTTTCACAATGGTAACTATTGTTCCCCTGTATGCATTGCAAACTACAAAGACAGAGTGATCGCACACGTAATAACAATTGTAAAACTTCTTTCTTAAACGGAACAATCACCATCAGCAAACGCTATTCTTGTGATTTGTAGTCTATATGACATAATTAAAGTAAATGTATGATAAAATTGAAACATAAACATAAATTTACCAAAGGCATTATTCCCAACTAATAGCTGGCCAAGCTTGGAGAAAGGATTTCAAAAGACACTGGAAAGAATTAATGAAACGAGATCAAATTTTCATATTACTGATGTAACAAAATGGGTGCGCAGCTGCCGATTATTCTTACCATTTAATTCATAGTGCTTTCACCATAGTAATAGTCTCAAACTCAGACCATAGTTCGTTGTCCTTTTTTCGTCTAATTGTTTTGTTAAAGTTAATGGTAATCGTTTGGCATTGTACATTAAATATTAATATCAATTTTAAGGTGGTCTATGGCGGTGAATTCGGTGTTCACATCGAGGCACTGTATTTATATTCATATTTTTTAAGACTAAAACCGGTTCATAGATTTGAAGAAGCAGAAGTTGGGGTCAGGAAGATATACTGTACCAGCTTGGCATGGAATGCAATTACCATCAGTAAGCATTTCTTGAGACCCGAGGAGTTACTAACTTTGTTTTAGTCTCGTCCATTCATTTAATAGTGCTTGAAGATCGTTTAACTCGCTCACATCATAACTTATGCGAATTTTCTTAATTGAGTTAGAATAAAGCATTAGATTCCTTTTTGTGTGATTGAACACGTCTGCAATGTTAAGGCCAATTGACTTCTTACAAGTTTGCAGGTAGTTGTAAATTATTTTTTGAATAATATACTAATGCCACTTACTGCTTCAAATATTTGGACACAGAATTCTAACTGTAAATATCGATTTGTTATCAAACGTGTCTTTACTTTGAGATGTATTTATTAAAAACCTTTTTACACTATCATTTACAAAGATTCGTCGAATGGCAAGAACCCTTTACATTTCTCGCTCCCACATAGACATTTGGTCAAAGCCACATTTTTGTTCTTCGTTTCTTTCTCCTTCATTCTCTCTTGTATATCTCTAACACCTCCATAATCGAAACACAACTCTTCGCCTGGAAGAATATCTCTATTAGCAAAGAAGCCAACAACAGGAACGATCGAGTCGACACGAATTATGTGGATTTGCATGTTAGGCTCGCATGAATGATTGAAATATCTCGCAACGTTACCAAAAGTTGTGGCGTCGATGTTCTGAAGGAATTAAACGAGTCGTAATGAATAGATGAAATGGGAGTTATACACAAAGAATAAGCGAAGAAAAATTACCGTCCGCTGAATACGATCATGTCTTTTAGATATGAAGCACAATCAGTAATACGCGAAAACAGTTCTTCTGCATGTCTATTCATTTTCATTGAATAACTCACATGATCTCCCTCAAGCAAAAAACATAGTTTCTTTTATTGTCTTTTGTATTTGTTTTCCATATGGTCCTTGCCTTTTCGGTGTGAATAATCTCACCGGCATATTCGCATACAAACTGCCCCTTGACAATCTTCTCGACAGCACGAACGCCCCATCCCCGCGTACCGGTAGGGAATACGTTTAGAGGTGTCGTGAGACCTCTTTGGGTCAATCTGTTAGGACAGGAAGGAGAGCAAGTGCAGGATTGGTTGCATTCGTAGATATTTTGAAGCGGCGTTGGAGCGGAGTGGGCCGGAAGACTGCGAGACGGTGAAAGGAAAATCGGATTTAGTGTTCGTAGGGATTGGCTATCGTAGAAAAAGCCTATTTCATAAGTGGAAAACAATATACCATTAGTTTTGGGCACCTGAAATAATGTCACTATATCTCGTATATCGGGATAACAAGATGGATGATGGTGGCTGGACAGTGCCGGAATTTAATTATATAGTAATAGATTTACACAGCTGATGCATAAGCTTCCTACTTGCCATGAGTCGCTTTGCATCCGCAATCCTCGGATTGGCAATTGTCGGTGCAATCACATCCATCGTAGTATGGAGACAAAGACGTTCCGTTTGACAGGATGGAATGTCGGACGTACTATGAGAGATATTACTTTTAATCCGAAAGGATTTTTTACGACAATACCAGTTTAACCAGCCGTTATTATAGCATTGCTTTTAACGGCTTCTTCACATACTGATACCATCTTGATATTACCTTTTGATGCTCTCGTTTTGATTCTTCCAGTTCATCAATATTATCATACACTAAACTAATGGGATATGGCTCTTGTCCATTAGATATGTCATGAACGATATTCATTTCTATTACGATAGCGATCCGTGTACTAGACGCATCTATCAGATGGAAAGAAGTTTGCACGTGATCAACATATAAATTCATTACTACATCAAAAGTTGAATGGCTGTCGACGCTCGAAAAATTGAGATTGCAGCCTATTGTAAACTGATCTGATAAAAGACTTAACAACAAATTCGAGAGGCTACAAAATTATTGAATGTCTTATAACTTATATCGCAGAATCGAAGGGGAAATCCATTTAATAATTAAACAGGGCTAACTTCGATTTGGCGTTTCGACTAGTCGGGTAAAACTAATTAAACAATATTCATCTTCGATAATTAATTGTGAGCTTTCGTTCCTCTGATTAGGAGTACACTCATACTCCGTTTATATCCCCCTTTCGTTTAGCCCAAAAGTGGGGATATAAGCGGGGTGGGGGATGGATGATCTCGTAGTCACATGACAAGAATCATAATGATAATGATAATGCAAAAAATAAAATCGGTTATTATTATTCAAGTATATACGTACAATGTTATTATCAAAAATATAAATCCAGTTGCTTTGTTTTAATTTATCAATGCGTTCCTTTTCAGCCCTTTCCATTAAGTTGTTCAGAAAAGAAATATCATTTGCAGTTGCATGGCATGATCTAACTGTTCAATATATTATTTGAATATACCAAACGCTTTTTTACCTTCTTCATAAGTGATAATGTATCCTTCCTCCTCTTCTTTATCTTTATCATTATCACTACTTGGAAGACATTCGAATCAAATTTCATGTAAATAACTATCGCGAGGGACTTTTATTCACAACATTCTATGTAAATGTCAAACAAATAACACGTAAATAACGCGAAAATAACCTAACTTCCATCCATCGCATTACAAATAACACATAAATAACTGCATGCAGTCTTTTTTAGCAATTGGTGTAACTTAGGGTATATAAACGGGTTCGGATTATTATATTCGGTTATAAGAATTTTGGGGATAGGGATATATCTGAGATGGGATATAGCTGGCACAAAAAGGAACATTTGTTCTTAGAAGGCTATTTGTTTTTACAAAATTTGGGGGTATAACCGGGGGTGGGATATAATTGGGTAGGGATATAAACGGGGTACGAGTGTAGTTTGATAGGCTGCATATGGTTTCGCCTAGCAGCAAGAACATGCATTCCCATCGACTTGCCGTGATGTGTTCTCGATATTTGTCGCCATCTGAGTTTGAGTCAGTTCAGGTTTCACATGTATTTACCTAAACTACGGATGCTACATATTGAATATTCATACATGCATTCCAAATTAGTAAGGAACAACCCAGTGGTATATGTAGCGTAGTTGATCTCTTTGATAGTATGTTTGGGGAGTATGGGTCTCGGAAAAAGGCGTTTGAATTGTTGTCCATAGGTGCTGGGCCACCACTTTGAAAACTTTAAGAGAACGGAGCATACCAAATCTCAGGGAAATTTACGCTACTTAAAACAATTCTTTTAACGTCACAATACCAACCAGCATATCGATTGCAAATAGACGAAGATTGTACTTTTGTTTCAAAACCAGTCGTACACTTAATCGGTAATACTACAAATCATGCTAATGTCACCAAAACAGGTTAACACTACCGATACAAGTAAAATCATATTTGTCGAAAGATCATACACATTAACGTTAACCCATCCTCGTAATGGCCCGCTTAAAGAACTATATTGCTTAAACAAAAAATTTTTATTTTTTTTTATCCATGCAACTGGGATTATATTTTATTTTTATTTGGACAAGCAATTATATTGCGAGCTGTTTAGAATTTTAATCCATCTCGATCAAAGTCAAAGGCGACGCTCCTATCACATTCCTTGAAAAAGCAATAATAATCAAATTGGCTGGAAATCGGGCATAGAACAAAAAATTACGCAAACTCATCAAGAACAATCTGTGCGAGCACCAGATCCTTTTAACGCACTTAGCAATCTATCTAAACAAAATTAACGACATTTGCAAACCATTTTTTGCTAAGTAATAAAGTAGACACTCACGTTGACTCGAATAACGAAGGAGTAATTATCATTGACAATAATAATGATGTTACCATGAACAACCAAATAATACAAGAAAAAGATGTATAACAAGAAATAATACAAATAACAAAATAAGTAAATGTTTATTATCCACTTTACCTCTAGTAGTTCTATTGTATTACCATACAAATTACAAAGTCGCCGCATATGTTATGGTAGATAATCAAGAAGTTTCTCGTGTTACATTAACACCAAACATAGCAGCAGCATTATTACACTATACAATTCGTTACTTATTTTAGCAATCTTGGACGAAGCAAAATTCGGAACTAATGACGCGTCGATAAATTCGCCAAAAGTTTGAGTGGGTATAATATAATTATATTATACCCACTTAGTCTAGGTTATACACACTCCGGCACGTGACTTTAGGTTGTGACGATGAGTTTGCATTTGCGTCGTCGTTCGAGTCTACGATGAGTTTGCATTTGCGTCATCATTGCAGGAGTTGGCTCGCTGCAGAGTTAGCCTGCGGAGATAGTTGGAAAGAAAAAACATTTGACCAAGTAATGACGAGTTTGCGATTACGTCGTCATTGCAGGAGTTGGCTTGCAGAGTTAGTGAGCCTTGTTGCTACTCGCAACGTCAAATTGAAAGAATATTTTTTATATTATAAACCTACAAAGTGAGTAAAACCTAGAACCGATATCAACTTAGTAGACATGGCCAATATTCAATACACCCGAAACAGGTTATCTGAAGATGGTTTACAATATATCAAAAATTTAAAAACACTAAAAGCCTGGTTACGGTTCGCAAAATTTCATCCACCCAAATATATACGTAAACGTATGTTGATAGTAGGATACGATATTCGCAATAAATACGATTGGTAAAATTTAGTATTTCACATTAAAACAATCTAACAGTAAATGAATATATAAGCTCCCGAGGGGGGCTTATCTCCAAATTCCTTACATTTAGAACGGAAGTGGGATATTTTGTATATACGCATGAAAAAATTGAGCAGCAACTATTATCCAGCGAACATTCAGTCTATGAAAAAAACGGCTTAGTTCAGTTAGGAAAATTGAGAATGAAGTACTTGAATGGTTTTACGCGCCGGCTCTTCTCTTCGGCTACAAAGGTAGGTCGGAGCACCAGAACCTAGAAATAATTCATCAAGAGGTGGGGTCCCTCTAAGCTATCGGCCAGGTGGCACATTTATGAAACGTGCTCAAGATCGGTTTTATTATAATGCAAATGCGCAGAGCGCACGTGCATAAGACAGAAAACCCCCCGATTTGAATATTGTATAAAGACTGTATAAAAATGTTTGCTATACAATATACCCCAGATCATATCGCCTACTTAGTAAAAATAAACAATCTCAGAATCTGTATAAAGACGAATTATTGGATAAATTTAAAATATTTACACCAATTAACAATTCATCATGAATAGTATATCAACTCCATTTCTATCTCAATAGGCGTGCCAGAGAGAATAAAGGATAAGTATATATTTCTCAGTATGCGACTGGTAGAAACTGATTTTTCCTACAAACATATAGTAAATGTGTTCAAATTAAAAATCGCTCAGTGATGCCTCGCGATATTACCAAATAGTTTATGTATTTGTTCATAATTGAAGACCGATTAAGAATATATCGCCATTCTCTTTTCCCATACCCTATTCGCACTTGAATCCGACTAATGCCGATTTTTCAGAATTTTTTTTTTTATTATGAAGAATATATCTGTTTTCTGTTTTATGAAGGGGGATAGCGAAGATTTGATAGAGAAGTGTAATAAAAATATATAAATATAAAAATTCTTAATGTAAATGGGACAGTAATCGGCACGTTTTTTAACGTTTTAGCTGAATTTAACGCATTTTAGAGTATCGATAAAAATTATGTGAAACATTTTGGGACAGCAACACTTCGTGCACGGCTTTGCCGTGATCGGCACGTTTTTTAACGTTTTTAGCTGGATCGGATACCTTTTAGATATCGCGCATCCGTGTTCCTGACAATAAAGACACAGGGTTTTTCGAGTCCGAAATTAAAAATATTTTTGCCAACGAAAAAGTTGAAGAAAGAACCGTGGATGTAAGTAAAAATTGAATAGAGCATATAAAGCGTTTCCTATCCGTGGGTACCATACAGAAAAAAAGACATATCTTCGTGTTTTTACACCAATTATGATAAATGTTCTCCTCTTTGTTCATATGCTTTTCGGGTTTTTATAAATAATTTCCGACCCACGAAAGACTCATTAACAATACGTAATTTATTTCCCACTTCAGCTATAACACATGATCGCACTCTAGTATTAACATGGGGTATAGAAACCCATACAGAACGTGGGTTAGATCAATTACCCCGACCACGATATTTAGAAGATACTGTATTTATGATTTGTATGACTATTCATTGGAAAGACGACCCAAAACCATTGAAACAGATTTGTTCCGTTGGTGTAGAAACCGCATCGGATCCAAATTGGATAACAATAATCTGTGGAAATCAGACAAATTTACTGAAGGCGTTCGCACTATGTTGGCGAGCAGTAGCACCTGACATTCAGATAGGTTTCAATGATTCGGACTACAATTGGCCGTTTATGTGGAAAAAGCTGAACAACTGAAAAATTCTTGATTTATGTGGTTGCAAATGTCTGCAAATACACGGAAAAGTACGGCTGAACAAATTTTGCGCTGGAATTATGTTCCGATCGATGAAGCCCGACAAAATATCGAATTTTTTCCTGAAAGAGGGACGGTTGTTATATTCCCTTCCTTTACTGAAGGACGCCACTCAAAACTTTTTCGACTGTCCGAAATTAATAAGAAAAAATTTAGATTATATTGTGCTCTTTAACGGAGCGGGCACATACGATGAACTGGTTGGTATTGTTAGACGTCATACAAAAATGGCGTATGTAATCGACAAAGAATTTGCAAGGTCGGCAGTTCATTGTAATTGACTTGAC